CTCTACTCCTGACATGTCTGATTACTGGAGCACTTTAAGTGGAGGCAATCCTGTGAGGGTGAAAAGCCGAAGCAGCCAGCAGGGCACTGATATCAGCAGCAATGTTAGTAGCTAAAAAACTAGAAGGGAATCTCTTGGCTCTTGGATCTCCTTGTCCTCTTCATTAAGCACAGATGGGACTTAAGCCTACGTCCTTCTCAGCTATTTGGAAAGGCTTTCTCAAGACAATGTTTCCTTCTTAGAGGTCCACAGATCCCTGCAAACCAAGCTCTCTCCATGATCCATAGTTTTCTGCTCTTCATCCTCCTTTTGTTCTCTGCCACCTACGCCCTAAGTAGGATACCTCAGGTGAGCTCTGTCGGCCTAGCCTGGCTGGTCACCGCAGAAACTCCTTGGCTAAGCACAAGGGCTCAGGGACATTTTCAATCTATCATCTTTCTAGAATTGTCTTCTTTCTAGGCCAAATGATTGTTCCTTTGCTTATGGCCTGTTTTTTTTAAAAAATTGTAGAACTAAAATTCTAAAGGACCACCCCTGGTGTGGGGAAGGTCAGAATCAATGATTTTGGAAAGTAACTTGATCTGGTAATGTTTAGACATTTCATTAACATACCTGTATAGAAGTTTACATTTCTATGAAGTCTGATCTATCAATATTTTCCCTTATGCTTTCTAGATGTTATGCTTAGAAAATCCATAACATCCTAAATTTATAAAAAAGTTTTATCTTATTTAAAGATATTAAATATTGTCTTCATTTGGAATTTATTTTGTAACAGATATTAAGGAAAACATCCAAATTTATTTGTTAGTCTTTAAGTGACTCTCCATTTATGAAATCACATTTTATTGAATATGTCTTCTTTCCCCCATTTTTATTATAGCAAAGTTTCCATTAGTAATTTGTATGTTTTGTTCCATAGACCTCTTTACCTGGGTCTTTCTAGTAACATGATTTTTCACCTAATATAGTGTTACCCTTTGTCCTTTTTTAAAAAAAATTATTTTTTTCAGTTACAGTTGACATTAAATATTATTTTATATTAATTTCAGGTGTACAGCATAATATATATATATATATATATATATATATATATATATATATATATATAAAATTTATGCAGTGATCCCCCTGGTTAGTCTAGTACCCACTTGGCACCATACATAGTTGTTGCAACATTATTAACTATATTCTCTATGGTGTACTTTACATACCCATGACTTTTTTGTAACTATCCATTTGTATTTCTTAATCCTTTTACCTTTTACACCCAGCTCCCCAGCTCCCCTTCCTTCTGGCAACCATCAGTTTGTTCTCTGTATCTATGAGTCTGTTTTTGTTTTGTTGTTCATTTATTTTGTTCTTTAGATTCCACATACGAGTGAGATCATATGGCATTTATCTTTCTACCCTTTGTCTTATTAACTGTGGAGGAAATCCCCCTCAATTCTGGTTCAGAATGGAAAGGTTTCCTGAAGACTGAGATTATCTGCAGTACCAGACTTGGCCACTAGAGGAAGATACACCATAAATTGAGTTTAGTAGAAAGCCAGAAAAGCAACCAGCCCTTTGAGGAAATGTTTTCGCTTTACATGCTGGGTAAACTCCCTCACCATTCTGTCAGTGTCCATGTGGCTGAACTGTTTCCAGAAAAGAGCCTCCTGTTTCCTCACAGCTCAGACATGAAGTCTATTCTCACTTCAGTGCTTGTGATGATATTCACACTCAGTGAGTAAAGTCTCTTTTTATTTTGTCTATGGTCTTCTGACTTAGAATCACTTTAAAGAAATATTCTCCTCTGTTTGCAAGATGATCCCTGATCTAGAATTGCTGTTACAGGAGGAACAAGAGCCCAGACAGTGACTCAGCCTGACGACCACATCTCAGTCTTTGAAGGAGCCCCAGTAGAGGTGAAGTGCAGCTACTCATATTCTGGGAGCCCTGAACTCTTCTGGTATGTCCAGTACCCCAAACAAGGCCTCCAGTTACTCCTGAAACACATCTCAAGAGAGAGCATCAAAGGTTTCACAGCCACCCTTGACAAAAGTGGGGCGTCCTTCCATCTGAAGAAACCATCAGCTCAAGAGGAAGACTCAGCCACGTATTACTGTGCTCTGAGGGCCACAGTAATTGGTTTTACAAAGGAAGCAGAGCACAAACCCCTTGGGAGCCACAGCAAATACTTCATTGTAAGTTCTCTACGTGGCCACAGTGGGGCACTCTCTCTCTAGAGACTGTATTGTACCTCTTAGGTACAATATCATTAGTTGTCAATTACCTAGAGATTAACCTCAAAAATGTGTCCAAGAAAATTCTCATAACCTACTCTGCCTAAATTAATTGTTAAAATTGTAAGTGTGTTTATTCTCTCTAGTAGTACCTGGAAAAATGCTTTTGAAATAAAAAACTATACAGCACAGCATAAGAAAGCATTCTTTTCTGGGCCCAGAGGGACGCTCCAAGTTTAAGTGCTGCAGTCCGACCTCTCCAACCCCTCTGCCACCCCGCCCACCCCCACTTGTGTCCATCACCACATATCTAAGCACAGTTCCTTAAAAGCATGATACTGTTTTTTTGTTTGTTTGTTTGTTTGTTTTTAAGATTTTTTTTATTGGGGTATTGGGGGGAAGGGAACAGTGCTGGGGAGTTGGGGGAAGGGGAACAGACAAGTTGCTCTCNCTCCTTTGATTTCTGGACTTGTATATACATAATTTTTCGACATCTCCATTTGGGTATCTCCTTCTTAATTACCTGAAGATGATCTCCTGATTTCAACCCCTCCAGCTACTGAGCCCTCCTTAACTCACACCTGCTTCTTGTGAACTCTTCTCATTCAGATATAATGCAACTCCATTTGCCAATTTCTCTAACCTCCTTGGCCAAAAACCTTGAAGTCATCCTTACCTTCTCAATTTTTCTCATATCCCTATTTGATTCACTAGAAAATCTAACCATCTATTTCTTCAAAGTATACCCAGAATCAACCACTTTTCATGACCTCCACTGTCCATGCCCCAATCCAAGCCACTGTCATCTCTTTCTTGGTTGATGGCAATAACTCTAACTCATCTTTCTTCTTTCATCCTTGTCCCTCTCTGCATAGCAGAGTGACCTTTTAAAAACACAATTTAGGTCATGGGGTTTCTGTGCTCATAACTCTCCAGTGATTTCCCATCATGCCCAGATGAAAACTAAACTCTTCCCTATAACCTATAAGATTGTACTTCATCTGGCTTTCTGCCACCTCTTTGACATGAGCTACTTTCTTCCCTCTTACTAACTCCACCTTCACTATACTTGCTATTGTTCTAACATGACAATCATTTTCCTGCCCCAGGGCCTTTGTGTGTGCAGCTGCTTATTTCTCTACCCTGGGTGCTTTTATTCTGGTAGTCACATAGTTTACTCCTTCACTTCATTGTGGCCTCTGCTAAGAAGACATGCTCAAATCATATTTATTGCAGCGTTTAAGGAGGGTAATATTGTGTGTGAGGGGCAAAGAAACACATGAAGTGTTTCTCAGACAATGGGTACAAAGCTGTGACAAATCCATTCTATGGAATATGGTGAAACAGGTGTGTTAACATCAGTCGGTCATCAGGACACATAATTGAGTACCGTAACTCAGATTACAACTACTATGCATTTAGACATTGTAGGGAAAAATTTATATACATATATAATATATACTTTTAAGGATGTATTCATATGTCCTTTAAAAATAGTAAATTAATAAGAAAGATTAAGTCATTATGCTTCATATCACCCAACTTCTTTCTACAATTTTGACCCTCTCTTCCTCTTTTATTTTCATCTAGGAAGCGCCTCTATTCCACTCCCAAGCTAATATCTCTACTTAATCTCTTGATAACATTCCTATCTTATCTAAGAGAAAGACAAAATGATCATGTTCTCACTAAGTCTTTGTCTAACTGTCCTCTTTATAAGAAATGTCTCCTTATTTCCGGGTTCAATTTGTACTTTTGGGAAATGCTACTTTGTATATGAACACACACACACACACATACATGTTTGTCTTTCCTACTATACATACTGCAATGTCTTGTGAGTGGGAACAAAGTTTCGTTCATTTTTAAATGTCCTAAGATCTAGCGCAAAATCCAGCTTATAGAAGACTTCCCTCCAATAAATTGCTGTAGACTTAGTTTGAAATAAATTGGAGAAATCACATTTAACCCCGAAGATGCAAGTTGACGAAATATTTTAAGATAGTAACCTCCATTAAGTGATACTTTGAAGAAGAAATCAGTTTACTTGAGA